AGGCTGTGCCACAATCTCAATTGCTCTATTTGGCATTAGCATTTCGTTACTCGCACTTTCGAGCGAGCTTTCGTTGTCACGGGCAAAACGGGACCAGTATCCCGAAGAGGTTATCTCTAGGAACACTTACGGGGAAACGTTCTAGCTGTTAAATATTCTACACTTTTTATTCTTCTGCTCCTTTTTTTATTTTTAATTGCGTCTCATTTCCATTCCGACTATATTCCTTAGTTTATGACCATTGGTGAAATTTTCGTAACTTAATATCGAAGCAAACTGGTGAAATTTGAAATTTCCAATTTTCCTCAGATTAAAAAGCGCAATCTTTCTTTCTTAATTTACTACAAAACTTTCATCCTAAGTTTTCATTTCTTCTCTGGGATATTCTAAAAAATCAATTACCAAAGAAGTCTATATACTTTTTATCACAGTTCGAGTCCATATATTCCTCTCTTTTTATGACAATTCATAAACTACAAATTATTGCACTATAAAAAGAGAACCACGTGCCTTGCTTACTTCTTTCTCAAAATATCTTCTTAATTGCCATCTGTGAGCACTCGTCAAATAAATCAAACAATTAGGTATAGAAAGGAATTACAAAAGAACATTGACAGATAGGAACAAGACGAATGAAAAGTGAATGAACCATCGTTTGTATTAATGTGTGGGTGGAAGAGAGCAGAGAACTGTGTTGGATTCAACGACCTGAAACAAGCTTCTTTTCTGAGGCCACTGTCCAAGGTCCCTGCGTGGTCATAATATTCGTCTATATAGTGTGTTCATGACCGTGACCGCCTCCTAACTCGGTGACTGGTACATGAAACAGAAACGCGTGTACTGTTCGCCTCAGGATGACCCACTTTTGCCGGCTTGTTTTCGGGGTTTCATCCTCAAGAGTTGTTTCGACTACAACTGTGAATCATTCGCTTTTCCGTGACCAACGCCACGGAAACGGACCGTAATATTCGTCGTTGGAATTCCTACTCGACCTCTTTTTCTCTTTTACCGTGCCACAGTGTTTGAATACCATTGTGAATACAATAAGCATACCCATTAAAAGATTATTATGGAGTCTTTGATGAATAGTGTTAGTGAAAAGATCTCCATATGACCTGTTTTTCCTACTTGTTTCATAATTCGATATTTCTGGATAATTATCACCCCGTGTGAGTTTCAACCTAACCTATTTTTTTTTTAATTTTTTTTCTTAAAATTTATCGAGTTTGAATTTTTAGATATATTCAATTTTTTTTTCTTTTCTTCGCCTTAGAATATTTTGAAATATTAGTGTAGACTTCAATAAAGAATTCTATACTCTTCTTTATTTCCTGTTTTCATTAGCGAAATTGTAACTCGTTCGCCACGATTATGCGGGCAATAATCGAGATTTCTATGAATGAGGATTTCCTCTATCACCCTTGTTCTTTTCATTTTCTTCGAGCACCCTAAATTCCACTTTGATCTTTCGTTTTCTTCCTTTATCGACCATGAAACTGTATCCTCAGGAACAATTAGAATAATTACACGAGAGAGAGAGAGATATGAAATGGTCGAGGTTTTCTTCGTTTTTTTTAATTGAGTCGTTCCGTAGATGCAAATCAGAGCAGGTAACCGGTTCCAAGCTCGATTTTTAACGCGTTTTAATATGGTTCTTATCACGCGCGCTTATGCTACTCCGTGGAACGGTTTGAGACTTTTAATGCAGCGTAAACTCGGCCTAATTATAACGGTACCACGATTGCAGAATATATTCTAATCGCTAACTGCCTACGTGAAATCCGTAATGAACCATCGTGATTACTTTATTCCTTCCTACTTTATCGACAATCCTCTAAGTTAGACTTGCAATTTATTTTTTTTTCATTTATCTTTAGGAAACATTTTTAAACTTTGTCTAATTTGTGAAACCTTAAAAAATAAACTTAACAATAATAATCATCCATATTTTACATTCTTCCATTTGAATTAATTTTACAATAATGTTTTTTCATAAAAATAGGTTGCATGATGAGAAACAATACCTGAACCCAACGGCAACAAGAAGATGAGAAATGGATGTTCTCCAGCGTGGTCGGGGAACGACCTTCAATGTTCCCAGTCACTCACAGCTCCATGAACGCGAAATTCTGATTACCCTAGAGTTTGTCACTCTCGGTTCTTTCTATCTCTCACGAGCACGACCGGAGATGATTGAACGTGCGACAAGACCACGGAAGTTTGCAGCCCTGGCGGAGGGTCACACGTCGACTGAGGTGCTTCGACGACCAGGTGGTAGAAGGAAAACGACGCGGTGGTGGCGGGAGGACGAAGAGGTGGTAGAATCGGGGACCGCGAATCAAATGGTTTGCAGAAGCAACGACGAAAGTTCGGATGAAGAAACGCAACGATCCAGGAAGATTCTCCTCTGTCCTGAATGAAAGTACAGCATCACTGAATTTTAATGAGTTCGCCGATTTTCCAGAACGGTGTGTGACCGATGATGAACTTTCGATATTCCACTTCACCGATCTTGCACTGAGTGTGTTGTAAACATCGTTGTCGTACAGATTTTAAAGAGGAATAACATTTTTTTTGTAAAAATTAGTGTTGTTTAATAGGTTAAAAAAAAATTAGGATTTCTTGGAAGAATTTTTTAAGTCTGTTTTGCATTGAAATTTTGTAAACTTTTTATTGTTGTTCGTTTAATTAAATGTGAATAAAAGAACATGGACAATATATCTTTTTTCTTTTTCTTAGGAATGACGGTAGTTACTTCTTCACACGCTGATAACATCTTCTTGCTTGTCGAAGTCTCTCCAACGTCGCTGTTTACTCCCGGATAATCTCTGATTCTTTTTTTTTTCTTCCGTCAAAACATGCAACATGGTCGAGGGAACAGGGACAAACTTTCTAAGGTTTTCTCAACGTGTATCGATTATAGAAAGATTCCTCTGTAGTAGCTGTCGATAGAATGAGGAAGGAAGAGGCGAGGCAAGATGTTCTCCACCGTGTTTCTCTGACTATCAGGTGGTGGAGGTAAGAAAGAGAAGGAGTTAAATCTGACTAATGGACGGCACAGAGTCGACGGAACGGTACGTGGAACAGTTAGACGACGACCCACATTGCAGGGAGTCGCTCAGGGCCGGCCAACGTGCCAGTTTCTTCGACCTTACCCTCCGTTAAGGCACGCTAGATGATCTAGGATCATGCTAAAATCGTTTAATCATCGATTTAAATCCCCCCTATCTCTTCTTTCTTTGGACCACTTTCACATTAACCAAATGTAATTATTGTCATCTCGCTGATCTCTTCCCCTTCCTGTTTCCTTCTTATTACACGCTTCTTTAGATTTTTGAATTTTGTTCCTTGCTATTTAAGCGGTCTGCGGTACGATTGTTATTTATTTTATACCATTTTTCGCATATTTTTTCTACTTTTTTTTTTTATTATCTATAATAATTGTTAGTACCTGTACTTTCGAAGGAATTGTGAGAATACATTGGAGAAATTTACGGAGATGAAAATAAGGTGGAAATTTTGAAATGGTGTA